ACATAAATTTCATATTCTGAAATTACTTGCTACGTTGCAAGACATTTAATGGAACTGGTTATGATCCGCTTTAAACGAACTGCCGCATGCATGTTCTTCAGACAAGTATTCGGATCGAACGAGATTATTCCGCACCATTGCTCGAATCTCTCTCACCTGCTCAACGTTTATAAGAAATGAGCCTTTCTAATTTTTCATCAAGCAAACGAGTGAGATAATATACTTTTTTTTATATATTTAAAGAGTTTCTGAGAGTGACTTGTACTTTCATTCCATTTATGTCGGAAGAAAGAAATTATATACATATTTTTGTCTTATTATAAAATATACCTCTCTTTAATATATTCTTCATAGCTACACGTCTATAGTCGGAGTTACTTTATATGTGTCGGTGTTACTTGCGTCTATTTGCATTACCAATAAGCGATCTGGAGTGCAGTATCATCATTCTTATACAAGGTCAATCGTTTCTATAGCGCGTCATAAATGGCCAAGATCCAACGTGTGATTTAACGCAGAGTCGCGTAACATATAATCATTAATGATGTTACTTAGCAACAATATTTATTGTTTTCAGTAAAGTGAAAGTTTTGTTTGACCGGCATAAAATTAGTTTTTTTTTTTTTATTACAAAATTCTGTTGCAAAAGAAGGAAAGAACAAAGTTCACAAACGATTTTTTTACTTGCAAGATTTTTTTAGACTTAGTCTTCTAGAAAACAAAAAAAAACAAGTTCTCAAAATTATTGTTGCTTTAATTAAGACGTCGTGACACGTTACGTGAGCGCTTTTGAAAATATTTCGCGACAGATGCAACACAGAAAGCAACATGATGACAAGAAGCGACGTGGTGGATATTAACACGAGGTGTATTTTAGCATCACTTTGGCGACTCTCTCAGTTACATCATATTAAGTTGGTCTGATCCTGAGTTGCCGAGAGTTAAGTTTCTCGCGAGAGCTCGTTGCATGCCAAAAGCATCCGCATATCTTCTAGAGATGTCTGAAAATATGCTTTCGCGACTTGGTATGTGATGACCGTTACTCGCTCGCGTGTGCGAAATATGCGTACACGCTTTCATATTGCCGTATCATGTGTGACTGCGTTATCATCTTTTCTTTCTACGCGACGTAGCTGCGACGAACGGTCGCGGCAACGGACCGCGCGATAACTATCTTTAAAATGCAAGCTTTAATTATTAATATAATTAAGAACAAATTAATTAATGTGTATATTAATATTAGCTGAATCGCGATTTTCTCTGTTTAAATATAAATTCATTGATGATGCTTGATTGTTTCTGATAAAATTAAAAAAAAAACCGATACCATTACACATACGTTGTATAATTATGTAGCATTATCACAGATTTATTATATCTCTGACGCAATTGTATGTCGGGCGTGCGGTCTATTATCACACACGAGCATTAATTTAATGATTACCAGCGGTGAATTACAAAGAAGTATTACCATATTACTCCCGACATTTTTTTATAGATTTATTTTACTTACTATAGATTTATTTAACTATACTTTTTTGCACATGTTTTTAATCTTTTTTTTCTCGTGAGATTGTTATGAATATACTATGTAAAGACGAGATAAAGAGAATTATTTTTAAAAGACACAAAATGATCTGATTATAATTAAAAAACTATATTTTATTAACGTGTACTAACTATACATAACGGAGCGGAAGCTACGTGCCTCGATATATGAAAGCAATTAAGGCGCAATGTGTGCGCGTTAGTACAGCCGACTCATTATTTACACTAGACCGATGCTGCCTACCTCTGTCGCTGTTCTTACAGCGAGAAACATTTTTACCTTTCCACAAGGAGCGTCATTAATCTCTGACACGTGCGCAGGTGTAGACATTCGCTATTTAGCTGAGTATCATTCCGAAGCGTTTAGGTCTGTCAGACATGCGCGGTCTGCATAGTGGTTATACATATATCAAACACAGTCGGCGAAAGAAGTATGGCCAGACCGATCATCTATAAGCAATACGTATCAATTATTTGATAAAATGTATTCCCGACGAGTTTATATAACTGAATCATCTCTCTTTGGAGGTTCTCCCTAGAAAAATATGTAGTATACTTTAAAATATACTTTTTCATTAATATTCTGAAATACATATATTTGTTCTAAAATACACACACTCGTAATTTTATGTGGCTATTATCCACTTTGAAGTACTCTTCTACGCGCGTTTATTCATACAGCATGATAAAACTTTACTTTGCAGAAAATAAACGCACGACTCTGATAGTTAAGTTTCGACAAAGTACAAATATATTATGCATCTCATATCGTAAAAAGTAATCTTTAAAAAATTCTTATTTTAAAGTTTTAGCGCTTTTATTACCAATCGCGCGTTTACATATAATAGTTCACTAAATTGATACTAAAAATTGTACTTTACGCAGTACTGAAAATTACAGACAAACATTGCAAACAGTGATTTTACATTCTTATTATATTTTCCGAGTTTAAAACATCTAGAATTCTATTTTGTTCGTTCAATGCTGTCGCATAGACACTATAAAAACTTGCGACTTTGGCCTTACACAGAAACGCATTGTATACATTATACAAAGTGATATTTATACGAGACTGCGTCATAAAGCTCATCAGATATGCACATCACGTGCCCGATTGCGATATGTACCGCGATACTAATCGTCAGCGACTTCGTTGCTGATATTGTGTGGCGCGATAATATTATAAATTTAACATTGCAGCAAATGGTCAAACGTAAAAATAAAACACCTCGCAACAGTTCTGGGCAAATGATCAGTGATCCAGAACCAAGGATTTACAAGGGTTTTGTCTGTTGGCACCGATTATACGCGGTTGTAGTTAACAAAAACACTATATCTTTTTTCGAGGCAGTAGGCCGCATCTTTTCTCACTCGCTTTAGAATCAGGCAACCGGAACTGAAGCCATTGAGCTCGAAAAGATACTGGAATGCGTATCTTATCCCAAATACAAAACTATATCCGAAATTTTATAATATAAATATTGTGCATCTGCCACAATATTTTGTACTTCTATCTGACAAATAAGAAATAAATTGTTCCAAATTTATTCCATGCGTTTTATGTTTCTCTCTCAAAACATTTATATTTTTTCTTAAATTTAAATTACTTTAAAAAAAAAAATTCTTTTGATAAAAAACAATAATAAATAATAGAGATAACACAAAGTGAGAGATATACATGTTTAAAATAATACACAAGATTAGGAAAAAACTTGTATTTATAATTTTGTAACTTGTATTTTATTTTTACACATTCTTGAGTGTATAAAAAATTAGCGAGAATCACTTTTGGCTGGCTGTTATTCAACGTAAAATTTAGTCAATAAAAAGTGTATAACACTTATAATAACAGCAAAGCGTTATTTCGTACGCATGTACTTTTGCAAGTCGAGCATGGTGGCTTGATTTTCAAAGCTACACACGTTTCACTTTAAATGTTGTTGACAACTACACAGAGTTTTCAAATGTTTTTATAGTCTTCAAGATACGCTGAAACAATCTTCCTTGATGAAATCGGAAATTCTTCCTAGCCGACAAAACCAAGACATTGATTTTTCTCATCGATATATTTTGCAAAATCGTGTCGTCGCGTGTCGCTACAAAAACTTACTTATACGCACCAGAAAATAATCACAGATGTCTTCTTCCGGGAACATATTTGTATATAAACACACACATGTGAAAACAGAGATTCATTTATACTCGAAGTTGGCACTTGTTAATAAGACCTTTAAGAAAGAAATAAACACTCGATTCATATAAACACAAAGATAGAAGTATTTTAAACGCCAGATTAAATTTATCGCGCGCGTCTTCTATATGTGATTCAGATATTTAGATAATAAATATAATTGATATTATTTTTTTTAGATGGTATTTTAAACTGTCTACTTTTACATAGTTTATATTATAATTGTATTAACTTTACTCTTATCATTTATATAATATCTTTATACAATAGTATTATTAAAGTTTTTTTTTTTAAGTGTTTTATGCCAACTTTATGTATAATTCGTTGCTCTGCAAGTTTTATTATGTTGTTACTTTTTATTTAATCTCAGATTTGAGTTTTTATCTTCGTGTTGTCTTCTGATAACTGAGTTGTTTTTCTCTTGTTAGGGTTAGTTTTGAGTTTATCTTCGAGTTGTTGTTGCATATTTATTAAAGTTTATACCGACGTGGAAAAAAATATTTTGCAAACAACAGAAAGAATTTGTTGGTCTTAACAATATTTTTTGTTAAAACACAAAATATTTAGTAGGTTTACAAAATGTAAACATCTGAGAACAATCTGTCGATAAATCAAAGAATATTTTTTGTCGTTCTGGAAGTACAAAATTCTTAAATGTGTGTTAAAAATTCATGATTTTTTCTCCTATAATATTTTGAGAAAAAATTTCTTCATGGAAATTTTCTTAAAAAAATAATATATTGTAACATCGAACTTCATGAACGATCCAATAATTCAAGGTGGAAATAAATAATAAAAGAAACGAAAATATATGTAAAACATATTCCGTGTGATAATTCGATGAATAGTTTTCGAGTGAAGAATCAAAGCTACATATGAAAAAAAAAGAATTTCCAAGTTAATACTTTTATTCTTTACGTGATCATTTTGTATGTGTCAGATGATGTTTAACTCGTAGGTCGATGAGTTTATCTTTTTTATATAAGATAAAATCAAGATATAATCATTCTTATTTATATGTGCTTCTCTTTGATTTTTGATGTAAACAATCCACACACAAACCTCCATTGGACGTCTGTTAGATATCGCATGGAGCTGTTGACGTTTAATGGACGTTTAATGAAGTTTTTGTTTTGTGTGAGAAGGTAAGGGATTTGTATATTAGAAAAGTAAATAAGTCTTTGTTTTCGAATCAGCGACCTACAAGCAACCACCACTGTATATCGCCACAAAAATATTCAAAAATTGAAACAGGACTTACCTTTATTAGCTACTTTTTTAGAAATACGGCCTTCTATGGATGCGGTGAGAACTTCAAAACATGCTTTGAGCATGCGCATTGCAAAAGAAGATTGCTCTATGACGTTCGTGTCAACTATCACAGAGTATAGAATTTTCAGGAATTCTTGAAGATCATCTGAAATGGAAAAATTCATAGTTGGAGAATATGAATATCACAATCAACCCACATATATTTTTTAAACAAAGTTTATATATGTGAACATTAAAGAACTTAGAAGATAGTTTGTAATAGATTAAAAATTAACAAGTTTAGAAAGATATTAAAAAAATAATAAATATTTTTATAGAGTGCTTTTTGATACAGGAATGTTAACAATTTTTTTCTTGTAAAATTAGTGTTCCTTATTTAACGTTAACGATTTCAATACGCACAAATATTCAATAATATTTGTTCTCGCTGTGTTGACAAAGAAGCATTCATCGAAATATTCCAACACATTTGTCAATCCGAACTCACAATTTATAACAATACCGATTTCTAAAATTATTCCGTCCCCGTTTTGAAAATTCGTGAAAAATCACAAGAGAAAAACCGTGTTTTACGGCGAAAAAAATAGCGTCGCAATACTTTCATTAGACGAGATTCGCAGATAATAACTTCTCGAATCGTTATGTCATGATATATTAGACGTTACAGCGGCCAATGGCAGCGCATATACCCGTTCTAGGCTCCGCCTACTAGAGACTTCGATTTTAAAACTAAGGAAACCCTTTCCTTTTCCCTCCCGTTCTCAATCCTTTTCGAAGCTTGCATGTATATACCCCATCCCCACTCGATAATCCACCTCCTTTTTCCTCTCGCTCACACTGATCTCGTCGGAATAGACAACGATGCAGGTGCGGCCGCGTCGCCTGGCGTTGGTTCCCTCCTTTTATACGCGCAGGTGAACCCGGCCAACCATGTGCTGTTGTGCGCGCGTGTGCGCGGCAACGCGCGTGCACCAACGAGAGCGACAGAGGAACAGTAGAGAGCGATGGGAGGGGCCGGGATAAGCAAGAATTCCGGAGAGAAGGGTGATATAGTAAAGGAGAGTGAGAAACTCTTGTTGATATTGAAGAAGGAAAGAGAGATCGCAATATATATAGGGTGTCTGAAACTTCTTGACACACAGCCGAAGTGTAAAGGTCAATCTGAGCAAAAAAGTATTTTGCAACATTCTCGATAGATATTAAAATATTAAGTAATTAATGTGAGCCGAGATGAGTATCGTGGAAAACGATGAGCTCTGATTTGTTGCGTTACACGGCCATGAGAATCAGCTGATAGCGACAATCTCCGTATTTAGACACCCTATATGCGATTTCCGAAACGTATTTCGTTAACAAAAAACTGGCGACGGTGCGCACTTTGTCACGAGCTGTATTCGCTAATTTTTTTTCTCTTTTTCACTTTGCACGTTTTCGTTATTGTCGGCTTCACCATCTCACTCTCGTTCTGTAACTTATCTATTGTCCGTAATAGACTTTCACCGAGCGAACGCCATTTTGTGCGGTCGCGCCGTGACATGCAAAAAGGAAGATGCCACGACAGGGGAAAGTATTAATAGCTCTATTATTAATTTTCTGAACTCGGTTATTTCTTATTTCAGTGCGATTAAACTTCTTTCTATATACATATAAAATATGTAAATTACTTTGAATTACTTGTCTCTGTTGATTGAAAACTTTTATATTATATTAAGTCGCGAGTGTTTCGTATTACATCCTACATTGCGATTCGCAGATATCAAAGCGACATGCGTTATGAGAACGTATTATCGCAGATTTAAATCCGTTCTTGTTGCCATGCGATTCTCAGTAATCGACACGTTGCTCGTATTATCAGCGACAGGATCGATTACATAATAATAACGAAGGGAGCACAAACGTGATATCGCTGAATTCCGTGAACGATATACGGATGCGACAATAAGTCGCAAACGACTATCTGTGCGCACAATTGTTCGTTACCATTTTTTATTCAGTTTCTAAACGAACTGTTTTGCAGAGAAGAAAAGAATGCAGAAGCGGAAATCAACCGATGAAATCAGTCCGATAACATTTGGACTGTTAAGGCTCGCGCACACAACGCGATATATAAAACAAGTCAGAAACAATATAAGGAGTTGGGATGATTTGCACAACCGCACAACCGCACTCTGTTACGTGCCTTTGTGTTAAATTAATGTTATATTGTGAGTGCGGCTTTTTACTATTATCGATCTGTTTGATATCAACAATGATACGATGATACGATTTTTATGACGGTAGATTCTTTGAAAGCTCGTTAAAAGTTGCTGCCGCCATGAGTTTTCGGCTCTGACGAAGGCGCAGAACGCCGTCGACTTTGTTAGATCCTCGTAAAACGTCACGTTCCTTGACTCGTGCTACGAAAAATCTCTCGGGGTCAAAGTGCAGTGGTCGTAAAAAATCAGCTATGAAAGACACCGCTCGTAAACTGTTTCCGAGACCGCAGGATCAGTGCATGAAATGTTGAAATGAAAAATCTGAAAGTTTGATCCTACACGATGCCGCCGATGAACTTTGGTTTATCAAGTTATTACTGTTTTTTTTTGTTGCTATCAAATGCGAATTGTGCGTCCGAGTCGTATAAAAGGATCGTAAGACTTCCGGACAGTCGTAAATTCTGCTATTCTCGCGCTCGAACAATTTCATCGCAAACTACTTCCGAGTTACATGACGCAACGCGAAAAGCGAAAGATTCGTCGAGCGAGCGCTAGAAGAGAATGAGATAAAGACATTTGTGTGTGATAAACATTGCGTTACTTTGCCATATAACGTGAGAAATATTCTGCATAAGTGCTGAAAGTGTAGTGTTATCATGTCGCTCTGACGATGATGTTCGGAGCTGCAGCAGGTAGAGCGACGGTCGTTTTTAACACATCGAAGAGACACGTTAGCCGAGAGAATTCGCGTATTTCGAGCTTGTCATGAAGAGCTCATGTTGCATGGTCAAACGCGTCTCGCTCGCCTGCAGATCGTCGTCCAGCGCCGCGTTGGACCGCACGCTGCGTGTACAGTTGAGCTCGGAGACGGCTTTGTAGCAATGATACTGTTGTGTCACCGCGCGTAATCGAAACCCGACCGCTGCCATCACCGTTACCGAGACTGTGAGGATCCGTTTCGTCGACAAGGGATGCCCGGCACCGCGTTTCACAATTACGCCAACGCGTATTCAAAAATGGTTATTTTTTATAATAACCATAATATTACACGTCAGATGAGTGAATCAAAAACCTTCGCGTGTCTTTTCTGATATCGAGAATGTTGTTTTGGTTTTCTGTTTTTTTTTTTTTTTTTTTTTAACCATATGTAAAATATTGAAAATATGATTTTATGATCAACACTGCGCCTGATCGTTAGTGTTATTTTATCTCATTTCCATTTTAATAAAAAGATATTTTTTATAACCAGTGAATCTTCCGCAACGATTCCTTCGTAGCCTATAAAAATAGTCAACGCGGAATCGCAATAAGTTTCAGCGGAAGCAGCCGAACGAAGAAACGGTCATGAACGCGGGCGGCTTTTATGAGAGACGCGCGACATTTCGGAAGCAGTAAAATTCTATTCTGTCAAGCGTTCGCATAAAATCCTTGCTTGGCTACCGCGCAATACATACTCACATATACATGCGCGTATTCGCGGTAAAAAAAAAAAAAAAAGAAAAAAATAAAGAAGAAAGAGAGATGCGATCGTAACTTGATCGTTCTGTGTGATAAATCAGAATCAGCAATAAAAGCATCTGTCATTATCCGTGATGAATTTTCAACAACGAAACTGATGACATCGTGTTTCTAAGACATCGAGGTGAGACAATTTATCTTGTCTTTCATACACGAGTTGCTACTGTTGTCTACCGATGCGCGAACGGGACGCGCAATGCAGAAAGAAAAAGAGTGTCGCGGTCGAAAAGAGAGAAAAGGAGACGTAGAAACCATAAACACACCCGGGAGACTACTCGAGATGCCGCGAGGATCGTTGGCCTCTCGAAGAGGAGTAGAAGAGTAGAAGACCGTAAAAATTTTAGGACTCCGCACACACAACATTGGTTCATGGTGAGACGTTTCGCGAGAATGAAAATGAAGCACTCTCACGTTTGCAAATTTCTCGTTTTTAATTTGGATTTGTTTTCTTTATTTTTTTGCGTAAACAACGAAGAAGACAAATGCAATAAGCGTGTGTATTCACGCGCAGAAATGTCCATTGTCGTCAAATCGTTATTAAAACACCAGTCATCGTAATATTTTACGACTTTTTGTAATAGTGGTGTAAGCTGTTCCTGAATAGACAAAGAGACAAACATATGAGGGGAAAGAAAGTGACAGATCATTTAGCCCCGTATTACATCGTAAAAAAAACCGGCTTGGCTTACTAAACTGTGATCAGTTTTACGCTATCGTTCTTATACGCATCTTTATCGGAGCGCCGCGCCGTCTCCAGGTGGTCAATCCTGTTTTGCACATATGAGTAAACCATTTTTTGATTCGTACGACTCACATATCTAATGAGATCGACAGGATTAATCTCACAAATATAAAATTGTTTTACAAAAATCTTTGATGCATTTTGGAGACGATTTGGAAGATACAATAAAACTTACAGCTGGATCCAATTCTTACGAATCTCATCGTGTCAGTATCTGACGCGAAAGCGAAGGCGAGGAATCGAATTTTGCCGGTATGCATTGTACGTATCGTCGCCGTCGCGTCGTAACTTTCGCATCAGTGACAACGACGATGGCAGTAACAAAGATCCGGTACAAAGGGTGATATTCACGAGAAAGAGAGATGAGTCAAATGCGATGCAGAAACGCTTGCTGTTAGAGCGACCACGCGAAGGATTCGTCTAACAGGCTTCTCTGGTCGTGTCGTAAAATCGACTTAGTCGCGGAGGAAAAAAAAACTCGCCCAGCTGGAAAGCTTTTGAAATTCGAGCAAATGTGTGAAAGCACAAATGCACTGCGTATGTTTAATGGAATCTGTGAAACGCGTCTGAAATGATAAAAACGAACGTCGGTAACGAACATTAAGACTTTACGGATAATCATCTCTGTCAAACGATACCAATAAAAGTACATTTTAATTTTATAAAACCATATTTCTGACGGCACTTTTTTTCTATTTGAGAAAACTATCGATACTCAATCAAAGAATCCACATGAATATAATCATAGATTTTTTTGTGAACAGTAAGTGCGATGAAATGTCATCGCGTGTTGATCAAACAAAAAAAAAAATGAGCCGATACCAGACTTTTCGCGAGATTTACGAGTAGGATTGTCAGTAAAATCAGCGCCAAAGGAGAACTGTCGTAAAAGTTTCGAAATGATTGCTAGAAAAAAAACGAGAATTTGTTCCGTTTCTCATGGCAACCACAAACTCTTCTTCGATTAACTTTCCAAGAACGATGATGAGTCCCGTTTACTCCTTTCCCCGTTCGTGTAAAACATGTAGTTAATGGTGAGAAGTTTCAAGATTTAAGATACTCTTTTTCTTTTTTTTAAGAGACAGAGAGAGATAAAGAAAGAGATAATTTTTAAATTGAAGTAGCATATTTTAATATAAAATAATGACAAACGATGTATTATGGAATATGCGTTTCATTAGAGACGATCGCGTTGTCAATTAAAGTTTAGTGGTCGAAGATCGCAGATTTTCTTGATTCCTTCGGCTCATTTAGATCCGGGAACAAACTATTTCATCCGAAAGCGAGCAAAATAATGATAACTTTTAAAAACGAGCTGGCTCGTAAAAGCAAGAACGTGCTTCTAGGTTTCGGCTTTGGTTATAAGTTCGTATTATATTAGCCGGGTTGTGCATGGCCCGTCGACCAATAAGAACGATCGTAAAACTAGGGTTAACATTCGGTCGGGTTGTCAAGTGAAAGAGCGGCTTGAATTTCGTTGGGATCACTGTGAACGACGTTATAAGTACGCTCGTTCGAGCTTATACACTGTGTCTGAAAGGCTTGAAGCGACGATGACAAATGCGCGCCAACGAATTCTCCGAGATTATTATTAAAAGTTAAATAATTCCGGCATGCTCTATCTGTTGTTTTACGGTAATGTAATAACGGTTTAACAAGAACTGTACTCTCGATAAAAGACAATCTTTTTTTTTTCATTTTCAGTTTTTTACATTTTTGATCATACACGATTTCATGTTTGGAAGTATACGCGTAAGCAATAGTCTCGTTTGCTTAAGTGCACTGAATGCTGGTCTTTGTTCGTAAACTCTGCAACCGAGGAGGTCTCACTTATCTCGTTATTATAATTTATTCTACAATCATTTCGCTTTAGGTTTGCAACCACAAACCGAGCGGAATGCAGTTATACTTTGAGGGTTTATGAACTTCGACGTTTTATCGAACAGTAGAATCTTGATATAAGGGTCGAGAACGATCCTTTTCTCTGTACTGCTTTTTAATATCAATTGATTTTTCACCATAAATAATATTTAAGATTGCGCTACTATCGGGATTAAAATTATTTCATTAATAATAAATTATATCAAAAAATTACTTATACGTAAAAAGTAACAAAAAAATAAGAAAAGAATAAAAAATAACAGAATGAGCAACAAGTAAGTAATTTCTATTTTCACTTTAGATCTACGCGCGCGCGTATTCAGATCATAATTTGTTTCGTGAAGAACAATATTTCTTTCACATTCTAACAATATACGGTACGGAGATAGTCTTAGCATCGTCTAAAACGCTGTATCGATCTAACAAAATAATCTTTGGTAATCTTTCGCTGCATTATGCACGAAAAGCCATTTATGCACGTATGATTGTCGTATGATATCTCCGTGCACGATTATCAGAAAATATGAAAATAATTTACGACGTTTTGAAACAAATGCACGACGGATTTGCGTTAGTTTGAATCTTGTTCGTGCACATTTATTCTCGGATTTCGAAAAACAAATGTTCATAATTTTCTCATCAAAAAAGTAAGATACATTCGTAAACAACGGTGAAAGAAAATAAATAAAAATCACGTATACTAATTAAAAATAAAAAATCTCATAAAATTTCCAAATTTTGAACCATAATATTTACTTCATTGGCAAATTTGATTAAAGCTCCTCTATTCTTGCAAGCGTAATCGTACTATAAATATCAGTCGTCACATCGTAACGCAAAGGTCATGATATTAAATAATCCGTTATAGATGGTGCAAGTTACTGCTGTCTGTGTGAGATACTTAAATGTCATACACTGATATCTGGCGCAGTAAACGTTTACATGTTGTTTGTGAATTTTACAGTTATTAAAAAAAACATATCGTTGTGCACAGTAACGCGCTTGATGTAACTTATTACGGTAAATAAATTATACGACTGTATTCATGATCATCGCAAATGTTAGATATTTCTATCTAGTCTAATTTCTAACTAAAAATAAATACAACATGAATGCTACTTACAATAGTCACCTTCTTTTTCTTTTTCCAAATTCATTTTTATGTCTGGCCAGGGATTCTTCTATAAAAAAAAACATTATCAATTACAAGTATATTAAAAACAATGTATCACGAACGTATTAAAAACAACGTTACGGCTGATTTCAAAATACCGAAAAATTACAAATTAAAAGTCTGCTTATTCTCGTGCAAAAATTTACCAATTGTTTCAGTTTAGTAAAATTTGGAATTCTTGCAAAAAGATAAAAATAAACGTGCGACTATCGTGTTACAACGTAATAATAATTTTTGATTATAACAAAATAAACAAATTTTAGCGAAAAAACCTCATCAAGTTATATAAATTTTCTTAAAATTCATTCTAAATATTTTTTTAGATATATCTATATTTCTCCTTGATATATAAATCAAATAATCCAAGTCCAAATATCTGTTTAATTATCTTATTTTTATCAGAAAAATTTGTGCAACTTCTGCAATAATTACAAGACCTGAATTAACTGAGTTAACTTGAAAAATAAAAAGAGACTAACCTCCTCAGATAAGGTAATTTCAATTTCTTTGGTCAGTTCTTGTTTTTTGTCAAATATTTTTTTCGTTCTGCTTATTCTTATATCGGTTGCCGATTTGTCCTTCTTTCTCGCATTTTCTATACATTTTATACAAAAGCATGTTCTATGTGGACAAACGTGTTTATGACCGGCACCTGCTAGTGCGTCAACGCCATGTATTTTGCAGGTTGAACACTTTCCACTAGCTCGACCCTTTTTTTCTGGTACTTCCGATTTCTCTTCTGTCTCACTCGCTTGCTTCTTTCTCACTAGACTTACCGATAATTCCTCTTTCGTCTCGCTTATTTTTCTTTTAGTTTTATTGCTCATATTAACGGCACTGATTTCTTCGTTCTTAAGACAGGTATAATTAAATAATTGAGAAGAATAATAATCTTGTACAAAATAAGCGATTGGCTCGTTAGCATAGACCACAAGAGTTCACAGAGTATTAATCCCTCGATAACAAAGTAACTTCGTTTCTGAAACATACACAACAATATACTTTTGACAGTTTAAATTATAAAAAAAGACAAACGAAATTAAAACGTTTACAAGAGAAGGCAAAATACGAATACAAAAAATATAATCACAATGTTTTCAAGTGCATTAATAACTTACATGATCTTCGTGAGATTTTATTTATGTATTTTTTTCTAATGATATCTGATATTTCTACTAAACCTATAAGAAGTTAAAATATTGCAATAATATATAATCTAAAGTGTGACTTAAAATTCGAATATCATTAATTCTTAAGCCAAGCATAGCTTGGTCTAATGCTTTAATAATCGATATGCGATATATCATCAAATAGTATACTTAGTCTGTACGTATAAAATATTCATTCGATCGATATAAAAAATAACCTTTTCAAAGTGATGATGGTCGAACTGTACTCCACCTAACATATACGTATATATATATAAATATATTTTTTTTTTTTTTTTATAAAACACGTGACAAAAACAAATGTTTAAGAACGTTGTGTTTGTCACGAAAAGCAGATGTAACAAGAAAATTTCTACAAGATCTATTACTAGCGACCGTTCGTGTATCCGAGTCGAGATAAAGGATACCTGAGCTCTTGAAATGGATAATGGATAAAACTGCATCTGCAAAAATTATGATAAATTCTGACACGGCTAAAGCCACTGTGAAGGACACGAGAGTCACGACCTCTAGCAGAGGTAAAGATACGTTTCTTCTGGCAACGCTGCAGAGATCGTGGCAAGTGAGGTAAAAGATACGCCGTACAAGAGATACAGCGCATCAAACTCTGTTTCATTAAACATTTGTCTAAGAAATGAACATTTGTCTAAGAAAGATCGCAATATATACACAAGAAGTTACGGGCGACCGTCCAAAAATAAAAATCTTTAGGTTTTACAAAGTTACAAATATTGTCAAAAGAGGTGTAATTTTGATTGAACACCATCAATAAAAACTATCAATAAAAAATAATAAAATAAAACAATAAAGTAAAGTACTAAAATAATATGACTCAACGTTAATAAAGATTATTGATCAATCGTTTGAGTGACGTTATGTGTATGTGAATAGAATGTTGACGTATGACGATGACGTGACAATGACATTACACGTATAAATTGCGTCGAAACCTTCTACGAAGTTACATCAATAAAAATTCGACGAACACAATATTATTACGGAAATTGATAAATTGCTTTAATTGTTCATTTGATTTATTCTGAGTAAATATTTATACAGTTTTCTGTAATGTACATTTAAAAAATGATAGTCTATAGAATGATATAAGATAATTCAACGACGCAAATAAAGAAGACATTATCGGTTATGCACAGTATATATGTATACAATAAAGCTAATTTCCATACAACTCTTTGAAACAAATGCAGTTTTTATAGCAAAAACTTTATCACTTAACGTAGAAATAGATTCTGTTTGCGAGTAGCTTGCTTGCAATATCTACTAATTCAATAATCTACTCTTTGCAAAATGTATATATATGTATATATGTATATATATATATATATATATATATATATATATATCTATTTATACGAATTTATACGTACATGTCTCTAGCATTTGTCAATATACATTAATATCGTAAAGTTTATGTTTGCTGTCAAATATCCCAATTAAATATAACAGTCACACTGTTTAAGACAATCAGAACTGTGTATAGTATTTCAAATAGTATTTTGTTACAAAGCATTTCCATCGAACAAATCTATGATCTGCATTAAAAATATTCATTTGCTAATGTATTATGCATTTATTTAATCTTCTTTATAAATTTGAAAATAAACATATCTCTGAATATATAATATGTGTGCCAACACATAACCGTCTCGAAAAAATGTAACTTAACGATTTTAAAAAATAACGACATTTATTTTTTTCATGTTTTTAATGAACAGAGAAAAGATGCAGCAAAGTAATTCATAAATGTCATACGAAGATTTCAGAATCTGATCTCTTAATGCACAAACAAAACTTGGTTACATTTGTGCCTAATTATATATAATTAAATTTATATTTTATATTCCCAAAAAACATTCTGGATAAATTATGCATGTGGCACGTCATAACACTATTACGAGATAGGCGCAAACGCGAATACATCTCGATAACGGATCTCACAGCAAAAGAAACGGATATATCTTCTTCTGGTTACATTCTATTCTGATAGTGCGACTTTTTATCTAACGACGACTTCCCGGCGCGACATCGCCGATACACGAAGATGCCATCAGCCGCGATCGGCTGCGTACAGTCGATCAGGAAAGTTTTCGGGTACGGAAAAAGCCAACAAACCACATATCTTAGTATACGTATCGCATTCTCGATCGAAGGATTTTATGTGCAAAATATTTTTTACGTTGTTTATTATTACGCTGATTTTTTTGTATCTTCTTTTTGATATGATGTAATTAAGAACTTGTAAAAAAAGTAGATAAAAACAATAATTTAAATAATAATTTAAATGTTAAACGCGTGTTTGAGAAAACAAAAGTAAGAAAAAGTCTTCCTGAAAGTACATTTAAATACCTTTCTCGGGTTCTTGGGCCGAATACTTTCGTGAGTGACTGTATCAAGAATCACGCCAACGATGTCGCTTAATCTAAGTTGTCAAACTTTTCCTTTTTTTTTTTAAAACCTGATCCGATATTACTATCGCTTTGTTTCTTGCCTTCTCTTGATTTATATACCTATGTATTGTAACTTTTTTTTAACATTCAATAAAATTACAATAAATATTCAATTTGTATAAAAACGAGTTAGTTTTAACCTATTGTATACTTATATTTAATCACAATGATAGTTTAATATTTTTAAGCAACCTGTTCACATAAATTAGATAACATTACAAAACAGATAAATATATCTTCATGTGTTGTGAAACAAACAAAATAAATCATGTGTGTGCGTTATTTATAAAATAGTAATATTAATAAAAAAAAAATAAAAAATACAAAGAGAGATTTCTTTCATTCAACTGTTACAAAATTAAAGTTTTTGTTCGATATTTGAGAAACTCATCTTAACTTCCGATCGCGCTTCTCTCACGTAACTAAAATCGATAAGGAACTGAATAAAAGATCGCTTGGAATCGATTAAACTGATGCAACTTACACTGAGATACAGTATTCCGCAAAGTTTGCGGCAAGAGGAAAACAATGAAACAATGAATAGCACGAACATTTCAAGAACTTCTGTTCTATGCAAATGGGGTTGACTAAAAGTTGAGTTTGCCGCGAAGTTAGAGGCGCAAATCAGTCTTTACGTTTGCAAGGTACATATGTGCATTTTTTAAAAAGATAAGATGAGTTTGAACGCGCGTTCTTATTTTCGCAAACTTTCATAGACGCATGTGCGCACTTACTACTTTACTTATTTTTATTTCACGTAGTTCAAAACGTATAAATTAAAAATTGTTTTACTAAAACAAAATAGGATGTAAATTTGTGCGTGTGTCACGCAAAGAGAAAAAAGAACGTTATATAAATCAAAACAACTGATTTATAATTTGTTCTTCGTTTTTTTGCTGATTTTCTCGTTTTGTTTCGTTCAACTTCTACTCTATAATAATATATTTTTATACAACACGCAAAACAACTTACCACGTCTTTCCTATTTTCTTGTTCCCTCTTTCTTCTAAGTGCTCTCCGTGATGCGGCTGTCCCTCAGTTTAATGATCACTCGGGAGATATAAATTGTTCGTGTTCGTGTGCCAGCAACACTGTATCCAGCAATCACGCGAACCTTCTCTCGTCGGTGCGACTCACGTCGAGAAATCCGAACAATGTGTATCGCATGCAGAACGCGGTTTGGTCCCGCCAAGTTCTTACATCGAGAGAATCGAGAAGTGTGTATAATTCTTCGAGTTTATACGTCACACGCGTGCGCGCGCGCTTGTGAACGGCAGCACCAGAGCGCGAAACTCTGTGCTGTGCAGCGCGCAATCTGTTACTATCTCGTGTGCGTGCGCGATGCACGAACGCGATACGATCATACACCGACAAATAAGTGTGGGGAAGGGGAAATGGGGGTTTGAGGACGACAGGAAGTTTCCGCCTCCGGAAAAGAACAGTTCTTCTCCTCTTTGCCACTTTTCTCACCCGTTTTTTGATATTCCTTTACCTTCTTCTTTTTTTCTTCGCCTGGTACACGGATATGACTTTATTTTTTCGTGTCTTATTGCGATGTCACGACAGAAAACAATCCTGCGTATTTCTTCTCTTACGATGTGCGTATTCAGTGATGAACGAATAATTTACGAGCTCGTTACAATGACACAACAAAACGCGAACGATTAAAGCGTCGCGGGTATTTTGCACATGCGCACTTTGCTCGATGCTCCGTTTCTCTTTGCCAGTCAAAATATCACACCGTTCTCCTTTCGCCTGTGTCGGGAACCGCTATCCTATGCGGTTTGCGGAGTTTTTTTTCCACCGTTGACGCTCTAATTTTGTTGCCCCGCTCGGCGGTGATCGTTTAATGCAAGAGCGCTCTCGGATCTCCTATCACGGAGATCCGAGTCGGACACACACCGAGAAAGCGCGCGATTCGATCGGTCGCAAACCGGAGGTGAGAGTCCGACGACGACGACGACGACGACGACGACGCTCGACACGCGCAGCTACGAAGCGGTCAAGGCAAGAAGAAGAGGCAAAGTGAACTGAAGTGTACACGCTGTGTTGGGACTCGCCAATGCGCTCGACGTGTGCTTGCATGCAGTCCGTAACTCACTAAGAGTCTGGTAGCAACGGCACGTCGCGAAATACATGTTGGCGACGGCCGCAGGGAAGGGAGCAACATCGTGGCTAAGGGGTAGTGTTGGAGGGAAAAGGGGGAACTTTACCGCCGCGGCGAGAGCGCGGGATGACGGGGGTAGAAACTCTCGTGACGGTATAGTGGTCGGTCGAGTGGAGGTGGCACGCGGCTTTAGACGGAACATCGAGGTTTTACGATTGAATCCGTCCGACCGACAGAGACGATCGAATGTTGTAGATTATCTTTGTGCGACGTACAGAGCTATATATGTGTATGTGGCGTACACTGTCAAGCGATCTCAACGATGCATGGGCGAATCGATATTAAATCTTTTCCGATGATTTTGAATTAAAATGAAAGAAAACATGGTGAAGATATAGTGACATATGTTTTTATGAATGAAAAAAGCAATAATAATTTAATTAGTTTATTTTAATCGCGTGTCTGATTAAGTTGTTTTTTGATTATTACAAGTATCTATCAATCCTTTGATAAACGTATGTACAGACTTCGATTTACTGTGACTCGATATTTTTAAATCAATAATTCACCTCCGTGTGTCTTATTTATGAGTATTTTGGAACGTTGCCGCGAGAACGTATCACTGTAAAGAGATGCATTGATACGTCGTACAACACTAGCGCCAAATGTCGCTTTGCGCCTGCGAATGCACATCGTTCTATTCGTGGTTGCCGACGTGACGTGCGAACGGCGTGCAATTGGCGTCACGACGTGACTGCGGCTATTCTGTGAGCCAGCGATGTCTTCGTGAATGAAGGAAACCGACATTCAAAACGTTGCATCAACAATTAAATTAATTCAAGTATTTTATCTTCGACTATACGATACGTTAATTTTCTTTTAACATTTATTTGCGCTAGACCAGTAACGTCATCCTTGAAATCGCCGTGTAAACGCACTAAATATCACGTAACAGACAGAGATGTTAATACTTTTTTACACATGTACTTTTGTTAAGACGTTATTGAAACGTTATTGATGCACCTTTATGTAAAAACATAAAGTTAAGCCTCCGCCTGCATGCGAACTATGCGATTTAAACAACCAAAGGAGGACGGTATCACGGCGAGATAGGCGGGGAATAAAACTTAAATGAGGAAAATGCATGCGTGTGCGGGAACAAACTGCTGTCGTAAAACGAAGCTAATCGCGAAAAAATATTTGATATATCTTATACGAATTTTACGTTAAATATTGTTCATGTAACGTTATCGCGTGCGGTATATTGCACACGCGCTACTTACGTACAACAAAATTCTTTATATTTATGTGTAATCGAAGAAACGGACACATCACTACAATGATTAGATAAGATGTGTCTCGCGTTTTCCTCGTACATTAAATTTACAGCGCATTACATTGATTTGTTTTTTTTGTTGTAACAATTACTTCGTAAATACTTGATCATCTATATTATAATTGAATGACAATAAATTCTGAATAAACATATTAACTATCTTATTTTATCAAAAAACTTGTTATGTATCTTAACAACAACTTATACATCACGATTTACAAGTGCAATAAATTAGCGAGATAATAACTGCTTCGTGTAAAGAAAAAATTAAGCGTTTTGTATAACTCTTTTCTACTTGTCAAAGTTCATTGTGATAAATGTTTTTTTGTTTTGCACCGTTTTAATTCTTTTAAACGAACGAAAGATAAAGAAATTAAGAAAGATCCATGCTGGCCGAGAAAGAGCTTTCGTAATATATTTGTTATATAGCTTATGCGATCTAAGAAACTTTATCTCTCAATTCTACTGCTAAAGACTTTTGGTGCGGCTTTGTCACGAAAGCTGCACAATGTAATTTTTGTACTAACAAAACACACGCGCGCGCAATACAACACGCAATACCACGTGACGAGCAAATGTAGCAAATTCAGTAGTAAGTTCAGTTACATACCAAGAAACGAGTAACAAGAGCAAATTGTGATAAAAGTTATCAAATTGTATACGTTATTCGAGTGTCAAGTAGCAAGGCGAATTCGCTTGAAGTCCGTTAAGTAAGTGCATATCCGTTATGACGGCAGAGCGCGGTGGATTCCGTTTGCCACAGCAAAAGGACGGACAGCTAAAAAAAAACAAACGTGATTGCCGAATCGCTTCGATAAGAAAGACGGTGTGTTACATGCGCAATCGCGAATGTATCACAAAATGCGCTTGATCGAATTAAATTTAAGATGCTTGGATAGGATCAAGATAAGCAAACCTAACTGTAATGGGATGCATATGTAGTGGATCATTTCTTACTGCCAGGTCATCATGATATCATCTTCAGTGTTGCGCTTAAATAATTTGAAATAACCTAAATACAGATTAAATAAAACATATACGTATGTATCTCAGATAAGATAAAGATAATCCGATTTGATCATATCTAGATAAAAGATGATTTAGTTGAGATTTTTATCTAGATAATTTTAAGATATTAAAGAAGTTAGGAAATTAAATAATACATCTCAAGAAAATCTATAGAAAATAATAGTTTTTCAAATGTGCTATCGGATAAACTGTTTCTTCGAGGTACAATTATTTGTTATCCCGTACTGAAAAGTCACATTCAGAAAGCGTACTCATTATCTTAGATAATTTACAAAAGATACTACTTTTCTTATCTGAGATACAGATAAAGATGTCATATATTTTAATTGTTTAGATAAAGATAAAATAAAACAATTATCACATCTAGATGAACATCTAGATAATTTTATCTAGATATATTTCGGAAAACACTGATCATCTTGGTGTCGGGCGCGGCGAATCAAAATCAGCGACTGGTCTCGACCAGATTCAAAAAATACCGTAATGTCTTTTCTTCAAATAAAGCAGCGTGCAAAATTGTCTTGTACGTATATGAGCCAATTTTTGAGAAAACTTTCTCTCGACTTTCGATTAACCAGCAAGTAAATATTATATTTGTATAAAAATTATCTCGTGATCTTTAATATATATTTTCCAACATACCTATATATTTTACATATTATATATATAATAAGTTTAAATCAAACAACAAACGCTCAACTCGCCGCTCTTAATGTGGTTCCATCGATTATATATTTTATTGCTGTCAACTTTCAGAAACGTACATGTGTGTACAATTGCAAGATGAAAAAAAAACAGGATGTTGTAATATAACGGAAGAAACCAGGACAAAACTCTACATGTAGACAGCGGAAAATAGTAACAATAATGTCTTTATTGCGTATTAACGAGAAAGAAAGAGAGAGAGAGAGAGAATAATGGTTTCAAACACATAGAACTTAGATTGATATTTCAAAGTTTTAAAAAATTTAAAATTGACTGAACCGACGATGGTTTTGTTAATAAAAAGTAACAATAAAAATCACAACACAATGCTATTTAACATAAAGGCATGTAACAAAGTGGTTGCACGAAAATGATCCTCACTTTTTCTATTTTTTTTTTTTTTGTTTTTTACCTATGTGGCATAAAACCCGCGGCGCGGTCCAAATTCCAGAGTTACCCTATGCGAAATCACACCTGCTATTATGGCGCATTCATATACGCATAACTCAGATAGAATATCTGATGCACGCGAGCAATCTTTTTTTAATGCCTCACAAAGAAACACCTTACAACGATTTTCGTTTCAAGTGTAAAAAAACATCGTGATGGATAATAAGTCAAAAAAAAATGATGCCACTTACTACATATTTTAGATGTAGCGCCCATCAGTGATGAACTCTGCCAAGAAAAAAGAACAGCCACGAAATGTGTGACGTCTAACACTCACGATATCTAATTTATAATATTCATTTTGTACAAAGAATAGACGCAATTACAATTTTCTATAAAATTCTTACATTTGTGCAAATCGTAAAAGTATCACTTTAAAAAAAATGAATCTCTTAAAGTACATGTAATATCAGTAATACCATTTAGGTACACTTGAAACGAAAATCAGCTTTGGAATATATTACTCGTGTTACTTTTATTTAAACAGTTTTTTTGCTATGAAATTATTCTCAGAATCCATTCTCTTTACCAAGGTCACCAACTTATCTTGTTTCTCCCTGTCTTCCCGTCCTTACCTGCTATCTTTCGATCTATCTTGATCTGCCTATCTTCTGTCCATTGGACACAGATTTTTGTGTGAGTAAGTTGACGGTTTAATAAATTCAGAAAAAATATATAACAATATGTTCATTGTTATTTTTCTATTAATTCACATATTTGATATAAATTTTTCTATGAACAAACAATGTGTTCAAAGGTTCTCATTTATATCGTGCTATGTAACTTGCGTAAACTTCGACAAAATAAATGATAGTATAGAAAATACGCGTATATTCTTACACACATTGCGTAGTGACTAATAAATCAAATAAAAGATTAATCAAACTTATAGGAGAAATCTCTCGGCTTCCTGTGTTGATAAAATCATATAAACGTAAAGATTGTGTTTTATTTGGCTCAGCCATTACTTCGTATTTCGTCCTTTATGCCTTTATATTTGTGAGATGCACGAGATTTTGTATTTGTGAAATTACAAAAATTTTGTTTTATATAGAAAAAGTTTTTGTTGGAATAGCAAAAAGATTAGTTACTATATAGTTTCCAAGACAAATTTTCCAAGAATATAAATTTTTTTGTGCCAACAAAATAATTAATGATGGTGAAGAGAAAAATTAAGTAGGCTTAGCTAATTGTTCTTGGTTATTACTGGCTATGTAACAACAAATTTTTTTTTTTTTTTTTGTGTACAACGTTGAATATCTTAAAATGTTTGATGAATACAGACGATCTGAATTTGTCAAGAAAAATCGATCATCAAAGATAATACGCGGTATAGATCTAATTAAGTTTATGTCTGCGGTAAATCAAATTGATCGTGAATTGTTCGGTGCCGATCGCTTCGTCTCGTCGCACCGCGTAAATTTTGTAGCGTGTCGGAGCCGCTCGTGCGTACGCTAAGTCGGCGCAACAACCGGCGGCGAGTCGTGACGTAC